CATGTCATGTTGTCAGGATGCTGATCACCCTCCAGGTCAGATGTGTCCTGAAGAAGTCGCACAGCTGCACCAGTAAGGCTGAGGATACTGCAGTGACGATGGTGGACAGAATATCATGTACTTGTAGTCTCTTATAATCATCACTAGTATTATCACCATCAACACCAACATTACCACCATAATCATCATCATCATCACCATCATCATCACTATCATCATCCTCATCATCACCATCACTATCATCATCAACCATCATCATTACCATCATCATCATCACCATTATCATCATCATCACCATCATCACTATCATTATCAACCATCATCATTACCATCATCATCACCATCATCATTACCATCATCATCACCATCATCATGACCACCACCATCAACCACCATCAGCATCATCATCATCATCATCATCACCAACACCATCATCATCACCATCATCACTATCATTATCAACCATCATCATTACAATCATCATCACCATCATCAACCATCATCAGCATCACCATCATTTTAACCATTTTAACCAACACCATCATTACCATCATCAGTTATCATCATCAGTCATCATCATCACCACTTCCATCATCATTATTGCCACCAACAGCCACAGTAGCATCATTAACAACATTCTCATCATCTTCATCTATGCAATCATCATCGTCATCATTGCCACCAGCAGCAGCAGTAGCATGATATACCATCACTATCTTCCATGATAACTAACATCATCATGAACTGTACCTATCAATAGAATCTGCTGTCTTCAATCTCTCAGTGATGATGGCTGCCGTCCTAACAAGCAGCATGTCACAGCTGGAATACTGAATACTGAATGCTTGTAGACCAGTATGCCAACAAACAAGCACTGCAATAACAAGCAAATAACATATAAACCAAATTGTAAACGGTTCTATAATTTTAATAAAAAACGAGTTGCACACCTTCTTCTTGAAATTGTGGTTGAGAAAACTGCATTAAAAACAATCCCAAGAGAATGTCTTCCATCGATGAGCTCAGGTCATCTGTCTGATGATAGAATTGTCTTATAATCAATAATATACAAGATCATTGTATACTAACTCATGCGATATGATTATTTGCATGACACAATATTGAATGTGTGTGATGAATATRTTACCTGGATTTTACACCACTCAAAATAGTCTTGAAGTATCRTTAAGATCCTGTTAATACAAGTAGTGATTTTCCTATGGAAAATGTCTACAAAATGTTGTAATATGAAGTCCACACTGGGTTTATTAACAAGTGGACCTGCAATAAAGGAAATAACTTATTTGTATTTGTAGGAAAGTTAGTGTTGGTGATATAGTAGTATTGTCATCATCCTCAATCATCATCATCAGCACCACAATCATTATTAATCACCATCAAAAATCACAATCATCATCAAAAATCACAATCATCATCAAACATTGCTTTTGACATCCTCCGCATCAACACTGTCATCAACAATAGTGGAAGTATCATCATCAATATCACCATCATCATCAACAGTAGATGGATCATCATTATTATTACCTCTATCACTACCACAACCATCAYCATCATCAACAAACAAACATCATTATCATCATCACTGGTCACCATCATTATCATCATTTAACATTGCTACCATCACCATCCTGGGCAATATCATCATATTTATCTCTATCATCATCATTATGATTGTCATTATACCACCAATACTGTTATCAATACCATCCAGAAACAACAGCAACAAAATCTCAATCTGTCATCTTAATCATGTACTGTACTGTAAATTAACACCATCAACATCATTACCATGTCTACTTCAGCCAAAACAAGAAAAATCAACACACAAAGAAACTGAACCAGCTCACCATTCTTGTCACAACAAAGACACAGATGTAAGATTCCCCATAAAGAATCATTGTCATGATCTTCCACTGAAGCTAATCTGAGAAGTTTTTGTATTCTCTCYGATCCTGACTGACTATTAAGCCAGGCAGGTATTCCAGGAAGACTTGCTTGTGTTCCCTGGAAAAAATGGTTTCACAAACTTCTTAGTTCTTGAGAAATACATAAYAAACAGTATATAAAAGTGGTTTATAAGAGACACACCATCCAGTCTACACCATCGCCTAGCAGTTTGCTGTCGAAACATCACGGTCCTCTACACGACCCTCAATCGTGAGACAAAAAGACTGTTTTTTACCTGTTGTAGTAAGATGAACAAGAAGTCTGTACTGTTGTTTATCTGAAACATACCATTCAAACAATTACTTTCAGGAATTGCAAGGYAATGGAGGAGTACAAGAAAATATTAAGAAAATATCCATATTACTCCTCCCAGAGAGGAGTGGAGGAGGTATGAGGAGGGTATATTGGGTAGTTCAAGATAATGGATCCAGTACCTCCTCCACAGAGGGGGAGTAAGGAGGGAGGGGGGAAAGAGGGTTTGAATTTCCAAGGGGTGGGGAGGGTCTGAGAATAATGTGCTATCATAGAAACTGCATTCCATGATCACACATCCATTCCTACTGCATACATGTACAGTAGAGAGGATTAAATATCTTGTGGCACCATACAATAAATCAGTATTATTCTTACCTCSGCTAATTTATTCAAGTGCTTCACTTGTTCCTCAGGACTGAATAAGCTTAAAACACCAAACAACATCCTGATGACATAAATATTATCCTGACTGTGTTCTCCCACATCAGCAAATAACGGGTATATGACGGCACCAAGGAATTTCTCACAAAGTTTGTCTAAATCATCCAAATTGGAGTCTTCCTTCTCCTGCAATACTTGTAATAATTTTATTGAAACAAATTGTGGAAAAAGAGAAGATAAAATTTTCAATTGGAATGAAGTTTGTTTTTTGTTYTTTACTTCTTTYAGAGCCAKGGAACAGATTTCTGTTGCTAGTTCAAGAAGATGACCACMGTACAAGTCTTCTAGTTTTGTATCTTGATTCATAGTTGACTTTTCATCAGGTTTTTCTTGCAATGACTCACTTGTTGTTTCAGGGGTGTGAAAAGCAACTTTATTTTTCTTTTGTCTTTTCGTGAGGCACGAAGGCGACTTTAGGCAAAGAAGACAATGAGTCATACGATCAGCTATAGCTACATCCAACTGTAAAAATGAAAAGTTTGATATAAATAAAATTTTACACCCTAAAGGGGGACATCATATCTCAGAGATTTTCTTTTGTGGGATCCCTGTGGTCATAACCACAGGCATCCCACAAGAAATGAAATACATCCTTCATACCTTCTCGTCATTTTCTACTTGAACAACAGATAAACAAAGAGAACTAAAACCTTGCCAAAACCAGCTCAAAATAATGTCTGCCTCTAAAACAGGTTGCTCCACGCTAATACTTGCAGCACTAATTTCTGCAATGATATTCTCATTAGGAATCTCATCCCCAGTAGTTTCCATAGTAACTGTTTCTATAGCAACCATTCCAGGTGTGTTGCTTTTTCTTGTATTGGCTGTYGTCAAATAGTTTAGTAAATTACTGAGGGCAAGGTACAGTTGCAATGTGGGTAGTTTGGTCCCAGGATCCAGAGACATCTTTATCAATGGCAGCAACTGTAGAAAAGAAAAAATATTCACCATGTCATTGCAAGYATGTATATCTAATGTATTAAAGTATTCACTGTGGTTGTCAAGGAAACCCTTAAAGATTGCCATGGAAACCCTGTGAGACTGAAAAACTGTACATTACCTGTTCTTTTACCAGATATTCTCTTATAGACATGGCACTCCCATTTTGCGACACAGGGTTGACCAAACAGTACTGTAGGCATTCCATATATGTTGTCATGACGACACCACTTTCAGATGGACTGGAAAGCACCTTTGGATCCATCAGACCTTCTTGTAGATTACCAAAGAACTCTTGATAGAATGCTATCCCTTGTCCTATTACCTTGAGAGAAGAACCAAGAAAAACTTTATTGCTGAAATACATTGAACCAATCATGGTGTACGAAATTTGTCTTTTATCCAACCAGAATGCAGGAACCAAAAGGTTAAAGGATAAGACTGTGARGAATTTCATATTTTTATACCTGGGGTGGTATCTTGCTTAGGAAGGGTAGGAGGCTTGGATAGATGACAGATGCACAGCCATAACCACCACTCTTGAGTACTGACCATAGCTTTGGTAAAACAGCCTTGCGAACATTCACTTGCTCCCAACAATTCTAATCAGCAATAAAAAAGAATTGAATTAAAATCATAAAGGATTTAAACTAAATTTCCTGCTCAATGGCTTGACATGACAACCAGCAAAAATGGGCCGACCAACATGTGAAAATCAAGGACAGTGGGTGGATTGGATGGCTAACCACTCCTGTTTGCAGTTGAAAAATAATGAGAAAAAAGGATTAGTTAAAAAATAAAAGTATGTTATGTAATATTCGCCAACTCCTTGAAATTGTTCTGGACCCAGCCAGACCAGTCAATGTTCTAATAGTACAGTATGTACTACTGTTGCCATTGTCAGTGCTTCTTGTTGGTCTTGTTGCTGGGTGGCTTGCTAAGTGTGGGTTTGCTAGTGGGATAGCTTGATTATTATAATCATAATATAAGGCAAGTGTACACAAAGTACAATGGATACCTTACCGGAATAGTACGTAAAACAAACAGTACTGCACCCCAGAGGTTCTGACAAACTGCTGGTTCAGACTCATCTAAAGATGAYAAGATGACAGGACAGACTTGAGAGCTGACAGACTGGATGGTTGATGGTATCTTTATACATGATGTGATAACCAAGGAAAACATAGCACTGCGAATCTGTAGGTAAAAAAGACACAACTCTCAGATCTTCATTCAGTAATTATATTTCATGGGAAGCATGGGTGGTGTGTGTCACTAACGAACTTGAACTTTGAACTTTTGTTCATTTACACACATACAAATGTTTACAAGTAYGTATATGTATACATGTATAATACATTTTGAATTAAAATACAAGATTTTTTGAGGAAAAGAATTATCAGTGTTGTCCATGGTACAGTGTGTGTGGTTGTCAAACGCTCCGCCTCTCACTGCTATGGTCAAGACRTGGGTTTGATTCTGAAACTCACCATCAGGTGTGAGAGTAACAGCTGCCTGTTGATTCTCTCCTGTRCTTAATCTATGGGTTTTCTCTGGGTTCTCCAGATTTCCTCCCTCCACAAGAATGAACTTGTAAATTTCTATTCAACAATAGAATGATGGCCAAAGGTTTTGTCAGTAGCCATTGGGTATTGAGTGCTAACCTCATAAAACAAAAATGATTTAATCTATTGATGATTATTAACATATTTGCACACTTACTAGTGGTGAGCTGTGTCTGGCAAGCTTCCATAACTTCTTTTCCTCAAAGATCTCCTGGTATCTTTCCTTCATTTCTGAGTTTATTTCTGCACTACTGACAGATATAAGATGGCAAAGAGCCAGAAGAGAAGATGCCACAACACGATGATATTTAGAGTCTCTGTCTTCTTTGGACACAACTCTATGGGAAGAAATTAAAAGAAATAAGATACAATCTTTTCTTTTTCTACAAACAACGAGCACTCTGAATATCTCTGAAGTATCTGATTACTTACTTTGGATCTGATAGAGTGTCTGCTGTCTGTCTTAACATGTTGTCTTCAAGATACTAAAAATATCAAATCATCATCACTATTAGGCAGTTTCATTTGAGCAACAAATGACAAATTCTTTGAATTTGTGATCAAACACATAYGCAAGATATCTCACTACTAAATATCCATACCTCCCCCCAGAGAAGGGGGTTGAAACTTCCAAGGGGTAGGGAGGTTCTGAGGAAGGTATATTGTATAGAACTTGAAAGAAAATATCCATACCTTACTGGGGTCTGACATAGCACTTCTATGAGAGAGGAGAGGAAGGGGAAGGTAGTGTTARTGATCATGACATGTAACATACCTCACACAAACCAAGACGGCAGAACATCAAAGCCTCATTTTGCTTTGCTTCATTAAAAGCAGCTTGAAATGCATGCTGTGCTGCTGATGCAACAGTTGCATAGCTATCAAACTGTGCACACAACCACACACCCATCAGTGACTTGAGGTGAGGTGCAAGGTTACGACCCACTCTCTTAACCAGTTGTATCATGGCTTCTTGTGTGGCTTCCCTTACACGGTGGTCTATATCCTAACATGTGCAAAAAAATTCATCATTGCCTGTATTGGGCCACTCATCCATTACCCTGTGGGGAAAACACATTTTTCCTTGCAGGGGAGGGGTAAAAATGGCTGTATACAGGATACAAAAACAATTCAAACTTTACTATCACAATCCAGACATGATAACATCCACCACTGTGAATATACTTTAATATTTTTGAAGATTCCTTTTATAAAAACTTCCTTACCAGAGCAAGTTTGTTATAGAGTCTGGGCCAGAAYGGAAGCACACCTTCCACAACTTCTGATTTTGAGTTTTTACACAATTCACTGAACTCTTGCAAAGCCTGAAGTAGACATAATTAATAAATACAATTTATTTTCATCAGTGATAAATAACTCAGACAGACAGACAGACACCAACTTACTTTACCTTGTACTTAGTAAGAGAGTCTCTCTTGGTCAGTTTTCTCATTACCATTCTAAAATCTGCGTCAACTGAACTGTCCACTTCATCTCCAAGGCTCGTTGTCATGGGAACATAACCTAAATTARCTGAGCCATGACCGTCAAATCCAACAAACCCAAGAGAGCCATCTTTGGTCACCAGGGCTGCAGCTCGGCCACTGCTGGATGGCTGTGAGATAATAGACAGTTAAAATAAAACTATATTTTAAAGATAATCAACAATCATACACTGTACCAGGACTGCAATGGATCCATGTAGGAATCAAGAATTTTGAAGAAAAAAATCCTGGAGACTTCATGATAATCCAGATAATCTGGAAAGCCTCCTATCTGTACTAGTGATAAGGATTGGGCTACATTGGGAATATCCTGCAAGGGATCAATTGAACTATGTTTCAATTAACTTTATTTATCCCCATTAACCATTTCAAAGAGTATACAGTACAACATTTCAGTTTGAAGAGTTTTTATAAAATTTGCGTATCGAATGTCGAATTTTCCGTGTKGGTAGATATAAAGAGAGCCAACCAACGAGGCGACTAAAAATATTGGACATTTTTCCAGTCACTTTGCGATACCTTTATAGCTTAAAGTTATCTAACATCTAAAAATCGACGTATGAAAAATCATGACGACTACTGTACTTACCTTTACATTGCCTTTTGTTCTTTGTTTATCGCGATTTTTACCCATATCAGCAAACTATACTAGTCTTTACTTTATAATCTTTCACTGGTTATAAAAATCAATACATTTAAAGATGTCTGAATTATTTTTCAAATGAACAAAAATTATAAGATTCTCTTTGCCTTCCTTTGTCAGCCATCTTTAAATCCGAGGAGGAGTGGGACTAGTACCCATCGACCATTGCGAGTAACGTTAGTAACCAGGCTCCAATCATGACGCGGTCAAGAGYGATTACATAACACACGTGTTTCAAACAATCAAAACAAAACAGATAATTTTGAGTGCGTTTTGCTTGCTATCGAAATGCCGCCTAAAAAGCGCCTTCTTTCTGAAGAAATAGCAGAACCAAGTCCTTTAGCTAAGAAGAGGAAAATTTCTAAAAAATCCGTGCAAATATCGAAGCAAGAAAACCAAAAATCAAAGCAAAAGAGAGAAGATAAGACTTCACCAAAAGCGAAATTAGGAAAGATTAAAAAAGATTCCCAACGAAAGGAAGAAGTCAAGAGARATAAGCATGGCAAGCTAGTGTTTCCTGATTACCCTGAATTCAAGCCTAACTTAACCCCGAAAGAAGTTCTACAAGCGGGTAGTTTTGGTGGGACATACTATAGACCTATCAAATCTAGTGTCACAGGTACTGCTTAGGGGTACTACACTAAATATATATGTGTCATATGTGTGTATCAAAGGGGGAGGGGGGTTGGGGAAGCATACAGCCCTTCCAAGAATTTATGTTCCTGATACACCGCAACCATGCCTCAAATAGTGCAAAACACAGGTTTCAGTTTTTTGGGGGGATTGGAGGGCTATCGCACTGATTGCAGATTAGGTGCTGCGCTATGCTTCTAATGAGGACAAAACGAAGTCTCTGCACCCTACATTCTCCAGTGTTTTGTGTTTTTGTGTTTGTATATTATATATACTTTTTTACTTTAATCTAGGAGAAAAATATTCTGGAGAATGGAAGGAATTCCCCTCAGATTGGTTTGATGGATTATCAATCAATAAGCAAGTATCTTCATCAACATACCACATTGATGTCAATACTTATAATGTTAAATGCGGTGGGAGTCTAGAGATGTGGGAAAGCAGTGGATGGATTGCTAAACAAGGCCCATATGGTTGGTTTCAGTGGTACTGCCGATTCTATCTCGGCCGACGGACAGATGATGACAAGCGACAGATTGGTCGTTGGAGTAAATGTGCTGGAGATAAGGGACGTTGGAGAAATAACCTTATTTCTAAGATTGTACGCAGTGGCTGTTGCCATGACAACCATGGGGTGTCACCAGTTGTGCGTCAAACGTTACAGCACTGGGGGTACAGACTTAATAAAGAAGATTATGAAAAGGGAGCTAAAAGAGTTAAAGCAAAATAAGAWTTTTTTTTGACACTTGAAAGTTTTAACTTAGTTTTTTATAGATAAAGCACTAGTTGCTGTCACGTAAGCTATTGTCATTACTCTCATGAGAATAAAAGCCTTTGTTTCCCCAGCATAAATTTATTCTCAAGCGCTTGAATTTGAGGCTACGCGTGGTGGAATCTATTGTTCAATCCAACATGGCTGCCGCGTGAAGAAGGCCCATGCCAACTAGAGGTCTATTCACTGATGAAACAAAGTAACTTGGAAAGAACTATTGAGATGATGGTTGGCAAATTAACATCACAACGCTAATGTTTGTAAGCAAAAATAAATAATTTGCATTATCATCAATTTTTGTCTAATGTACTAATAATAATATCCTTCAAAACCTTTGATATTCCTTAACATTATTACAGAACATGCCCGGGGGGGTGGGGGGACTCCGGGAAAAAAGTACCGGGGATGCTCATCGTATCTCTTAGGGTAAAAATTTATGATTTGGTATCATTTGGATGTTAATTGCGAAGTTTTGAAATTAATCAGCATTTTCTGGTATCTCTTAGGGTGTCGGAAAAGGAGAGAAGCATGCATCGATATGGCTTATCCTAGGCACTTTTTATAGGCCAGATGCCTAGTATAATTTGTTTTGGTATCTCTTAGGGGTTAAAAATCATTCAGCCACGCCCTTTTTTTAAAGACTTCTGGTATCTTTTAGGGGTCTTTTTGAAAATTTCCGGGGGAGTCCACCCCCCCCCCCCCGGGAGAACATGATTGCTTCCCAAATCTGAAGAATGGCATACATGCACACATTTGTGGTTTCAAGCAAATCCACTAATCCCCACCCACCCCTGCTAAGTTTCCATGCTAAGATTTATATGAATATGAAAAAATCGGAAACAAAAGGATCAGTCTAAAAAAATTGAGTTTCATTCAATTTTGAACAATCTGCTGTCAAATCGAAATGTTTTTGTTTGAATTTTGTCTTAGAGCAAAACACCCTCCCCTCCCCTGTAGCTATCATCAAGTTACGTACATCTGATTGAATGGTGTCGGTATTGAAACTGAAATCTTTTTACGTTAATTGAAAAGAAACATAAAAAAAACGGAACTAGATAGCTGAATCGAAAGTACTTTTACCTTTCTCTAGTCGATCAACATCTGTTATCAGTGCTTGAATATTATTGGCGGTTTTCTATCGTAAGATTTTTGCGCAGTCGTGGGGTGACAGGCGTCACTAACAACAAAGAAACAAGTGAGGTGGAACTGGCTCATTTACATAGACGTAGGAAGTTTTAAGGCATGTTTTAAACTGTAAACTCTTTGTAAACAAACCAGATCTCGTGTAATACAACGATATCCCTTCAAAGGAAATGCAGAAAATCCAGCTTTGAACTCAACTACGATCCCCGAGAGATTGTGAGTTGATAGTGTGGTCAAAATGAAAGGAAACACAGTTGTGTTCTTGTTGTTGGTGGTTGCTTTCTGCCTTCAAGTTTGTCAAGTGGATTCATGGCTTTCGAGGAGGAGAAGAAGAAGAAATCCTATTCCACCGCCTCAGAATTGCCAAGTTAGCTGTGAGTAAAGTAGCGTTTTTATTTCAAGT